GCAGCAGAACTGCCAGGACAGTTCTCAGAGGAGGAACCGGAGCGGCAGGAGGAGGCAACACCTCTCTGCTAATCAAGGCCAACCCAAACCGCCCTCTGGCCCTAAACCGGCCTTTTGAAGGTGCAGTCGAGGACGGTACACCAGATCAGAGACTGGATCTTACCTTTTCCTCCCGACTGTCCCCTTTCTACCGTGCATGGTCCTGTATAACCTCAGACTGCTGGGTGCTTCTCACGGTAGAGAAGGGATACTCCATCCAACTCTGTGCCCTCCCGCCCTTCCACCGCCCTTCCCTGTCCCTCTTCAGGGACCCTTCTCATGAGCAACTTCTCATTCAGGAGGTGCTGTCGCTCCTAGTGGAGGAGGTTCCACTGGAGCCACAGGGGTGAGGGCTTCAATTCCCTCTATTTCCTAATACTGAAGGCCAAAGGTGGCCTCAGGCCTATCCTGGACCTGCGCGACCTCAACAAGTTCATGAGGGCCAGGTTCCGCATAGTTTCCCTGGCCTCCATTATCCCTTCACTGGATCCAGCAGACTGGTATGCTGCCCTCGACTTGAAGGATGAGTATTTTCACATAGCAATCTCATACAACCACAGAAAGTTCCTCAGGTTTGTGGTAAATGGTTCCCATTACCAATTTACTGTCCTCCCGTTCAGCCTGTCAGCAGCACCTCAAGTATTCACCAAGTGCATGGCAGTCGTTGCCGCCTTTCTGCGGAGACATCAGGAACAGGTGTTTCATTACCTTGGAAAGGCCGCTCCAGGGCTCAGGTGGAAGCTCATCAGAGCCACCTTCAAGAATCTGGGACTGCTACTGAACGAAGCCAAATAGACTCTGTCCCGAGTTCATAGGGGCGGTACTGGACTCAACTCAAGCCAGAACATTCCTCCCACAGGTGAGATTCCAGGCCCTCAACACCATGATCCAGGGACTCATGCAGTTCCCTACTACCACTGCAAGAAATTTCCTGAAACTTCTCGGGCACATGGTAGCCTGTACATATGTGGTACAACACGCCAGACTCAGGCTTTGGCCGCTTCAGTCGTGGCTTGCGTCAGTGTACAGACCTGCCAGGGACAGCTTGGACAGGATTGTGACCTTGCCTTGCCCTATCCTCGACTTGCTCCTGTGGTGGACGGATGTTCAGCAGGTGTGCTCAGGAGTTCCCTTTGCTGCCCATAGCCATCCCTAGTGCTGGTGACGGATGCATCAGCTTTGGGATGGGGAGCCCATCTGTGGGACCACAGGACTCCAGGCCTCTGGTCACAGACAGATCTCAGTCTTCATAACAATGTCAGGGAGCTCAGGGCGGTACGCCTAGCATGTCAGTCATTCTGCCCTTATCTAGCAGTTCGATGTGTATCGGTCATGATGGACAATACGACTGCGATGTTCTATATCAACAAATGGGTGCACACTCCTCTCCCCTGTGCCAGGAAGCCCTCAGGCTATGGGACTTTTGTACAGAACACTCATTCGATCTTCAAGCGTCGTACCTTCCCGGGGTCCAGAACGAGCTGGAGGACCGCCTCAGCAGGTCCTTTCACAGCCACGAGTGGTCTCTTCGCCCAGACGTCGCATGTTCGGTCTTCCAGAGGTGGGGCTGTCCCCTGATCGACCTCTTCGACACGTGACACAGCAGGAAGTGTCAGCAGTTCTGCTCCTTCAGACTCACAGTCCGGGCTCCACAGCGGATGCATTCCTCCTCTATTGTGGGGGACCTCTTCTGTACGCCTTCCCGCCCATACCGCTCATCCACAAGGTCCTGCTCAAGATCCGCAGAGACCGGGCTTGGGTCATTCTCATAGCACCCGCCTAGCATTGGTACATGTCTCTCTTAGACATGTCAGTGGGAGCCCCGATTACCTTGCCGCTCTTCCCGGACCTTATCACTCAAGTTCATGGGCGTCTCCAGCACCTGAACCTGCAGTCGCTCCATCTCACAGCATGGAGGCTCCATGGCTGAATCTGTTCGTGCTCTCCTGTTCAGAACAAGTCAGACAGGTTCTTCGTGGCAGTAGGAAACCTTCCACTCGGGCCATGTGCCTGGCCAAGTGGAAGAGATTTTCAATCTGGTCAGCTCAGCGCGACTTGCCCCCGGCACTAGCCTCAGTGCCCCAGGTTTTGGATTATCTTCTCCACTTGAAGCAGGAAGGTCTCTCCTTCTCCTCTATAAGAGTGCACCTGGCTGCCATCTCGGCTTTCCATCTGGGGGTACAGGGCCATTTGGTTTTTGCTAACCCTCTGGTCAGTCGCTTCCTGAAGGGCCTCAACAGGTTACACCCCCACGTTTGCCAACCAGTTCCTGCTTGGGACCTTAACTTGGCCCTTGCTAGGCTCATGGGGCATCCCTTTTGAGCCTCTAGCAACATGCTCCCTGCTCTACCTTTCTTACAAGGTCACGTTCCTGGTGGTGATAACTTCAGCCTGGAGGGTGTCTGAGCTCAGGGCTCTAACGTCGGAGCTGCCCTACACCATATTTTTTAAGGACAAGGTTCAGCTCAGACCCCATCCAGTCTTCCTCCCGAAGGTTGTGTCGCAGTTCCACATCAACCAGGACATTTTCCTCCCAGTTTTCTACCCTAAACCTCATGTGAATAAGAGGGAGCAGAGGCTCCACACTCTCGACGTCCGCAGAGCACTGGCTTTTTACATCGAGAGGATGAAACCGTTCAGGAAGTCAGTACAGCTCTTTGTAGCAGTAGTGGACAGGATGAAGGGTCAGCCTATTTCGACCCAGCGCATTTCATCATGGATTATGGCCTGCATTACAGAGTGCTACAGTCTAGCAGGGATTCCGATAATGGCGCAGTCTACAAGGGCGCAAGCTTCATCAACAGCTTTCCTGGTTCAAGTCCCCACCCAGGAAATCTTCAGGGCGGTGACGTGGTCATCCATACACACTTTTGCTGCGCGCTATGCGGTTACTAGGCAAGCCAGAGATGATGCGGCCTTTGGTAGAGCAGTACTCTAATCAGTGGACAGCTCTGACCACACTTTTTCTAAAATTGCTTGGGAGTCACCCGATTAGAATCGACATGAACAAGCACTCGAAGAAGAAAAAATTGTTACTCACCTTTCGTAACTGTTGTTCTTCGAGATGTGTTGTTCATGTCCATTCCAATACCCACCCTCTTACCCCTCTGTCGGAGTAGCTGGCAAGAAGGATCTGAAGGGGTGGTGGGTCGGCAAGGCTATATATTAGGCTCCATGAGGGCATGACTCCAAGGGGCGCCCAGGCCGACCCGACGGATGCTGCTAAGGGAAAGATCTTCCGGCCAACATGCATTTGCGCACGCACACACCTGATTGGAATGGACATGAAGAACACATCTCGAAGAACAACAGTTACGAAAGGTGAGTAACCGTTTTTTCTATATCACTATAAGGCACGTACATAGCAATATAGCTTATACCCCTTCCCCTACAGCAGAGGTACCCACATCTGGCCCGCAGGACCGTCCTGCCCAGTCCCTGAGCTCCTGGACAGGGAGGCTAGCCCCCGGCCCCTCCCCTGCTATCCTCCCTCCCCTGCAGCCTCAGCGCGTCGCACTGCCAGCGCTCTGGCCTGCCGCTCCTGCCAGGCAGCATGGGCAGTGTGGCTGGCTTCGGTGGGGCTGCGAGCTCCTGCTGATCTGAGCAACATGGTAAGGGGGCGGGGAGCGGGGGGTTTGGATAAAGGGCAGGGAGCAGGGGACGGTTGGATAGGCGTTGGAGTTCCGGTGGATGGGTCGGGGCAGACAGGAAGCAGGGGGAGATTGGATGGGGCGGAGGTTCGGGGGGGCGGGGGCACAGTCCAGGGATGGGGAACAGGGGTGGCTGGATAGGCATGGGAGTCCCGGGGGGGCCTGTCTGGGGCAGGGGTGTGGATAGGGGTCGGGGCAGTCAGGGGACAGGGAGTGGGGAGGGTGGGGTCCTGGGGGGCGGTTAGGGGTGGGGGTCCCAGGAGGGGGTGGTCAGGGGACAAGTAGCAGGGGGGGTTGGATGGGTCGGCGGTTTTGAGGGGGGCAGTAAGGGGGCAGGAAGTGGGAGGGGGCGGATAGGGAGTCGGGGGCCAGGCTGTTTGGGGAGGCACAGCATTCCCTACCCGGCCCTCCGTACAGTTTCGCAACGCCGATGTGGCCCTTGGGCCAAAAAGTTTGCCCACCCGTGCCCTACAGGAATAAGCTATACCAGCATACGCACCATTATATCAGTAGAACTGTAGCAAAGCAAGAGTGTTTCATAGAATCATAGAATATCAAGGTTGGAAGGGACATCAGGAGGTCATCTAGTCCAACCCCCTGCTCAAAGCAGGACCAATCCCAACTAAATCACGGTTTGTACCATTTTAGTTATGAGTATGGCTAATGTGGTACAATTTTGTATGTAGACAAGTCCTAAATGAGCAGTTGGAGAGAGCTTTTACCACTCCTGGTGCCCTCTGCTGGCCAGTCATAATAGTATGTTAATGGGATTCCAGTGGGAGGCTTTGGAATACCACTGCAGCAGGGCCATGCATGTGGTAGGGCATCGCAGCACTCCTGCTGCTGACCCAGTGAAATGATGGCTGAGATGGGAGTGATGCTCAGTGGGCAGGAGAGAGAAATAGGAGTCTAAGTGAGTGAAATCTCACAAATCCAATGATTCCTTGTACCTCAAGCTAGTATGGGTAGTTATACCCTTACTGGACAATACACTCCTCCTTGGGGATGAGCACAAAGCAAGAGATATCTGAAACCATAGCCACACAAACTGAGTCTGTTCAGGGGATTGGGGTAGAGACAAGGCTTGAAACATTGCATCCTCTGTGCTGTTATTAATAGACATTAGGATGCAGGTAAGCTGCAAACTGGGATTTTCTGGGGATCTTGATCGATCTTGCTGGTAAGCAGAGACTTGACCCTTGCAATAGAGAAGTCCTGGCTCGAGTGCACTGCATGCCTGTAAGGCTTAGAAGGTGTCTGTTTCCCCCTCTCTCTTCCTGTCTGTAACTTTGGCCTGTATTTACCTGACAGAGATGAAGCTGAAATGGAATATTTGAAGATCGCTCAGGACTTGGAGATGTATGGAGTAAACTACTTTGCGATTAGGGTGAGTTCAGAGTTTGGGTCATGTTTTCAAAGCATCTTGAGTCCATTGTGTTTCTGGGGCAGGGGAAGAGGTATGTGAGAGGAATAGTCCTCGCGTTAAAGGTCCCCTCACCAACTTGCCTTGAGATGACTGTGTGAAACTCAAAGCTGGCTGCACTCCTGCAGTATTTTACCTATGGGCGGGGAGAGGGGACGGGGAAGGCAGTGGATAAGCTGCTGCCAGAAGCCTCCCAAGAGAATGAGTGAATGAATGAGTTACCACTGCAGTGCACGGTGCCTGGCGCTTGGGAAGCAGGATCCCCTCTGGCATAGTTGGTGCTGCAACTCTGGTCAGGGCTGGATGAAACTAGTAGAATGTAACCATTTGTGTCAGATCCTCCTCAAATCTTCTGGCTTCAAATGGAAATGGTTTGTTTTGCTCTGTTCTTCCCTCCTGTAGAATAAGAAGGGCACCGAGCTGTTGCTTGGGGTTGATGCACTGGGGCTTCACATCTACGACCCAGAAAACAGGCTGACCCCCAAAATCTCTTTTCCGTGGAACGAGATTCGGAATATCTCTTACAGTGATAAGGAGGTAGGGCACCTTTATCCTATGTACAAATACCAATAGGAATGTAATAACAAATCAGAGGGACTTCTCTTCTCTCCCGCTTCACTTGCATTTGCTCTCACAGTCTCAGCCAAAGCTATCTCAGTCTTTCCTATAGAACCCTTCATTCCCAGGCTTTTGTACGGTTTTGAAAGCAAGTGTTCAAGAGCTCAGCCCAGGGGCTATTTTTTTTATTTGCTATTTTTAGAGCCTTCTGTTTAACTATTTTAAGAAGAAAATTACCCCTAGTGTGCTCAGCCCAGCCAGCTGAAAGCTCAGAAAATGAGAATCTTGTCTTACTGTGACTATGCCCTGGCATCGTGAAGTATAATTAAATGCATTCCTGGTAAGAAGAGCTTTTGGCTCTCACTGCTTCGTTATATTACTCTGAGCGTCCAAACTTCCAGAATGCCAGGCTCAGTGCAGCAGATTGAATCTTTTCTTAGGTGTCAAGTAGTGTAGGCCCAACATCTGTGGCTGATTTTGATTAAACTGTTTATGTGAATAGGAGTGGCTTCTTGAGTAGTTGTGATCCCAACACCGCTAAGACTAGGATAAGGAGGTAAAATTGGCTACAGAAAGTGAAAATGACCAATTCCCTGGGCAGTCTGAGGGAATTGCACAAAGGAAATTAGCTACATTCATGATAGGTAAACAAATTAGCTGTTTAGTTTCTGTTTTATTTTTAATTTAAACATGATATTTGATGAGGGCAAAAAGCAAACGATTCTCACTTCAGTTGAGCTTATGCTTGTTTTTCTTAAGTGATTCATGCACAATTTAATCCCCCCCTTTGTTTAGGAATTAAAACGAAAGCTCTCCATAACTTAGAGCACCAGCCCAAGCACGGCAGGCTTTCTTCTCCTACGACTCTTTTCTGCCCACACCCAGGTCCGTGCAGCGAGAGCTCCCTGTTCATGCGTTACTCTAGGACTTTGCGGGCTGAAGCAGCTGCAAGTAGGCCTTGACACAATAGACTGTAATAGAAGATGACAGTGCCTCCTCCAGGAGAAAGATCTATCATCTTCTATCATTGTTGTTGGCAACAAGAAGAAAGCCAAGGAATGTGTGGGCCCCTTACTGAATGAGGGAGGCAAACTAGTGACAGAGGATGTGGAAAAAGCTAATGTACTCAATGCTTTTTTTGCCTCTGTTTTCACTAACAAGGTCAGCTCCCAGACTGCTACGCTGGGCATCACAAAATGGGGAAGAGATGGCCAGCCCTCTGTGGAGATAGAGGTGGTTAGGGACTTTTTAGAAAAGCTGGATGTGCACAAGTCCATGGGGCCGGACGAGTTGCACCCGAGAGTGCTGAAGGAACTGGCGGCTGTGATTGCAGAGCCATTGGCCATTATCTTTGAAAACTCGTGGCGAACCGGGGAAGTCCCGGATGACTGGAAAAAAGGCTAATGTAGTGCCAATCTTTAAAAAAGGGAAGAAGGAGGATCCTGGGAACTACAGGCCAGTCAGCCTCACTTCAGTCCCTGGAAAAATCATGGAGCAGGTCCTCAAAGAATCAATCCTGAAGCACTTACATGAGAGGAAAGTGATCAGGAACAGCCAGCATGGATTCACCAAGGGAAGGTCATGCCTGACTAATCTAATTGCCTTCTATGATGAGATTACTGGTTCTGTGGATGAAGGGAAAGCAGTGGATGTATTGTTTCTTGACTTTAGCAAAGCTTTTGACACGGTCTCCCACAGTATTCTTGTCAGCAAGTTAAGGAAGTATGGGCTGGATGAATGCACTACAAGGTGGGTAGAAAGCTGGCTAGATTGTCGGGCTCAACGGGTAGTGATCAATGGCTCCATGTCTAGTTGGCAGCCGGTATCAAGTGGTGTGCCCCAAGGGTCGGTCCTGGGGCCGGTTTTGTTCAATATCTTCATAAATGATCTGGAGGATGGTGTGGATTGCACTCTCAGCAAATTTGCGGATGATACTAAACTGGGAGGAGTGGTAGATACGCTGGAGGGGAGGGATAGGATACAGAAGGACCTAGACAAATTGGAGGATTGGGCCAAAAGAAATCTGATGAGGTTCAATAAGGATAAGTGCAGGGTCCTGCACTTAGGACGGAAGAACCCAATGCACAGCTACAGACTAGGGACCGAATGTCTAGGCAGCAGTTCTGCGGAAAAGGACCTAGGGGTGACAGTGGACGAGAAGCTGGATATGAGTCAGCAGTGTGCCCTTGTTGCCAAGAAGGCCAATGGCATTTTGGGATGTATAAGTAGGGGCATAGCGAGCAGATCGAGGGACGTGATCGTTCCCCTCTATTCGACATTGGTGAGGCCTCATCTGGAGTACTGTGTCCAGTTTTGGGCCCCACACTTCAAGAAGGATGTGGATAAATTGGAGAGAGTCCAGCGAAGGGCAACAAAAATGATTAGGGGTCTGGAACATATGAGTTATGAGGAGAGGCTGAGGGAGCTGGGATTGTTTAGCCTGCAGAAGAGAAGAATGAGGGGGGATTTGATAGCTGTTTTCAACTACCTGAAAGGGGGTTCCAAAGAGGATGGCTCTAGACTGTTCTCAATGGTAGGAGATGACAGAACGAGGAGTAATGGTCTCAAGTTACAGTGGGGGAGGTTTAGATTGGATATTAGGAAAAACTTTTTCACTAAGAGGGTAGTGAAACACTGGAATGCGTTACCTAGGGAGGTGGTAGAATCTCCTTCCTTAGAGGTTTTTAAGGTCAGGCTTGACAAAGCCCTGGCTGGGATGATTTAACTGGGAATTGGTCCTGCTTTGAGCAGGGGGTTGGACTAGATGACCTTCTGGGGTCCCTTCCAACCCTTATATATTCTATGATTCTATGTCAGTAATCCTTGACCTGCTTTAATCTTTATGCAGTGATCTTGTGAAGTATCGTTTTGTTAACTGTGAGTCCCCATCCATTCAGCTTATGATATGGGCCCCCAGCACCATGATCCTTGAACCCCCATCCCTGGCAGTACAACCAGTACTGTATGACCTGAAGCTGGAGTGGGCTGATTGTAGTTGGGAAGTACTTTGAATGCAGTAAGCACCAAGGAGGGGATGAAATTGTTTAGGGTGGCACAAGATTGTGTAAATACACTTAGGAGTAACAGGATAACATTTTAGACTGCAGAATAGTCTCCCAAGGGAAGTGGGACATAAGGCCTGTAACATAAAGTTAAGTTTGGCCAAAGTCCTGGAGAATAGACTGTATGGAGCAATCACATACTGGCTCTCAGGGTTGGGGGAAATAGGCTAGAGGCATGGATGGAATATAACTGGCTCGGAAGGATTAGATATGTAATTGGTAAATGTCAGTTTCACCGCATACACACAAACCAATTAAAAACTATTTCCGTCGATGATGATCAAAATGTACAGATAGGCAAAGTAAGAATAATGCTGCTTGAGAACTTCTTAGAGTTTGATTTTAAGGATATTTATTTTGTATATTTTGCCATGTGCTGTTGACAATTTGTGTTTTAATGATCAGAAAGATAAAGATTTATAAATCTCAACATCTATTGAGATTAAATTATTATTGTCTGACCCCCTGTTTTCTGAACCTCCCGGTTTCCTGCAGCTGTGAAAATTTAAATTGATAAATGAATGTTCAAAGTTATAAAAAAATTAAAATCCAGTTCTGCCAAGCCTAAATAGAACTGTTTCTTTCCATCTCTGCTTTCTATAATTAAGCACCAACCCACTGGGCAGTTCAAACTAGTTCTTCTACTCTGATGGGCCACAATTGTTTTTAATCCTCCCTGTTCCTAGTTCCCCATATCCTGCTAGACAGAAGCACCTTGCCTTTGGTTGTAAGGGTGGGTATACAACCCCATCCAAGACCTGTGAGCTGGTCATCAGAGAGCACTCGCTGAGCAGACAGGAATCACTCTCTCCTCTTGCAGCTTAAGGACATTGCTTCTGGGAGGCACTTGAGCTTTCCTGATGGGGGAACAGCAGTTCTTGATTGCTTTTTGATCCTAGCTGGCCTGCTTGGAAGGAAGCCATGAGGACTGCTCTCAGGCTTGTTTATCTGGCACTCCATTTACCTGCTCTTAGCCAGCATGCTGTGTAATTCTTCTGCTACCCTGTTTTGTTCTAGGCTGTGAGTTTGATAACTCTTTTCTTTTTCTCTCCTTTCAGTTTACAATTAAGCCATTGGACAAAAAGATCGATGTCTTTAAATTCAATTCATCAAAGCTGCGTGTGAATAAGCTGGTAAGTTTGAAGGCACAGTGATTTTATTGTCTGTAGCTTGAGGAAGCTTCTGTAGGCAATGTGAGGGAATGTTCTTTCAGGGTTTTCCTTATTCACACATCTTGGCTACTGTCAGAGGTAGCACACTTGACTTGAGGGACTGCACGTCTGATCCAACGTTTTGGATCCAATCAAGAATTTATAGCCTCTGAGAAAGGGTGGGGGGAAGAGTCAAGCTCCTTCATGGAATTTCTCCCCATCTCTTCCACTGATCTCTTTTTTTGAGCCTTCTGGTTACATCTGACCTGCGCTGTAAATACAAAATTCTTCTCATCTCCCTCGTTCCCCAAATGTCCTTTTTGCTTCTCCTGGGCTTCCCCTTGCTGCTCTGCTGATGTATTTCAGGATGATCACAGTGTCTAATAGAAAACACTAACTGGTCTGTGCTCACTCAGTACTCAGCCTCTATCGGGACACATCACTTGAGTCGTGACAAGTGGTTGTCTGAAGAGAAGAGACTAACTCATATCCATTGTATTCATGTACTTATGGCCATTTATGCAAGGTGGAAAAAAGTCACTCACTTTAGACATTATTGTCTGTTTTGACTGTAAAGTTTACAGCCAGAAAACCACGTAATAAATCTAGAGCCAGATTTTCAAAATTGGTCGGTAGCCAGCAGCGCTTCTTGAGGCATCCTGACTAGTGACCAGACTTTCAACAGCACTCTGCATCAGGAGAACAATAAGAGCTGCTGGCTCTTGAAAATCTGACCCAGAATCTGTAATACCTATTACTCAGCTGTACTCTCTAGAGGAGAGTACAGTATATTTTGGGTTCTTTTGGGGGTAGGCAGAGGGATTTCTGTCCTGACTCTGCCAACATAGTCTGCCCTGTACCTACTGTAGACTCAGGAAAGGTACTGTTACCTTACCAAGGCAGGGCCTAATCCTTGGGCCTTATACTTATTGTACTCTCCTCAGTCTCACACTGATGTAACTTCACTGTACTCTAGTCCTGATTTATGCCAGCACAAGTGAGGTCTGAATCAGGCCCTTAGAGATGAGTCTGAGGGAGACTGTAGTTTTCACCTACCCCTTAGCTTTTTCCTACCATTCTTCCCACCAACTCAGTTTCAGATCATTCTCCTCTGCCCCTAAGGGCTAGAATCAACTACATTGCTCCACAAGTCATGCAGCAGGCATGGCTGAAGGCCTCCAGCGAGGCTGTGGTTCTGCTCCAGACTGGTTGGTGTAAGTGGGTTGAATGCTGTGCATCGGGTAGCCTTTCTGTCTTTTCATCTCCCCTCCTTCCCGAGAGTGAAGATATGTTTCTTATGGTACCTCATCCCATAGTGCTCCTTTAACCTGGAGGGGCATTTTGATCCAGCTCATAGGAAAATGCACTGGGATTTAGAAGACCCGGGTTCCATTTCTGAGAGTAACTCACTTTACCTTTCTGTGCCTTGATTTCCCCATCTGTAGAATGGGGATAATGATACTTTGTAAAGTGCTTTCAGATCCATGGATGAAGGTGCTATATGAGCACTAAGTATTAATAACTCTGGTCTATGTGCTGGCAGTACAGATCATGTCATTTAAGTATGTATGTGTTAATTTCTTTCCTTTCTTTCCCCTTATTTTTGGCTGGAACAGATTCTTCAGCTCTGTATTGGAAACCACGATCTATTCATGAGGAGGAGGAAGGCAGACTCGTTGGAGGTCCAGCAGATGAAAGCACAAGCCAGGGAGGAGAAGGCCAGAAAGCAGGTGAGAGAGACCTTGTAATACAACCCAGATGTGAGCTAAAATCAGAAATATAAATATACCAGGAGGGAACAGAATAGCACAAAGCACCAGGTGTGCAAGGCAGGCCCTGCTGAGCAGCTCATCTAGTAGCCTGTCCCGTTACTACATGTAGTTCTTACACTTCGGTATGTGGGCTGATGGCAGAATGGCTGACAAGTCACCAGACTACAGGCTCGGAGGTATAAGTAGATGGGGAAAAGGATAACCTGTGCGCATGGTACATATGTTTGCATCCATCCCTACCTAGCCCTGTTGCAGGGAAGTTGTAGTGTCTTGGGGAAGTTGATTGTAATTAAGGCAGGAGTTGTGCTTTGCCATTGCTTTGTGCTCTCATTTTCTAATTAGATGGTGATGGAATGCATGCTGACATTTCAGGGCATGCAGCCTGCATGCTGATTTAGTCCTGGCCTCTATCCGCCATAGGTCAGGCGGCAGGAACAACACATCGCAGGCACCAGCTTGTAGCCAATGAGAATATATCAGCAAATTGGATTGTATGAATCATTGTTTTCTGTTCATAGACCTTTTCTACTCACTGAAACCCACACAGCTAATCTGAGTGCTGCTGCTTAGAATATAAATGTTTGTTTCTGGATAAGCCACTAGATAGCAGCAGTATCAGCAAGCTGTACCAAGAGACTTTAAACGCAGATGTACTGCTCTTGGATTCAGACATGTCTACTGGGATTTATTGCAAAGGATTGGGGGTTAGAACTGAGTACCTTGCCCCGCCTTCTACTATGCTCTGGAGTGCCATGCAGGAGACCTGTGTCCAGTTCTCCTTTCAAGGGCAGCACCCTCGTCTTTGGTTGGGAGGAGAGAATGCTTGCATCTAACCTCTGTGCCTCTGGCCAGTATAGGAATGGTGCTGGCAGACTAAAAGGAGCCCCAGGCAATCCTCCTTGAGGTTGAGGATGATGAGTAACCTGGAATCTTCAGGAATTAGTGGGGAAGGGGGCAGCGTTTGGAATTTGATGGGCTCCTTGAGGGATATGGAGGATCTGTCTGAATGAAGCCAGGAAGAACTGAGAAGCCTTGGGTGACTGCCTGGTAGGGATTCAGGGGCTTGGGAAGAGTTACCAGGGAAGTGACCACCTGGCTCTGGAGGTGGGGGGTGGGTACATGTTTATCACTGACTTTGAGATGAAATGGGTAGAGCTTTTGCAAGTGGGCCCAGAGGAGGAGGAATAATACCTGGCTTATAGCTAGTGCTTTTAATCCATAGATCTCAAGGTGCTTTGCAGAGGAGGTCAGGCTCACGATCTCGTTTTACAGAGGGAAAGTGACTTGCCCTAGGCCACCCAGCAGGCGTGTTAATTAAACCCAGGTCACCTTAGGCACAGTCCAGTGCCCTCGCCACCAGGCTATATAAGAAATGTGGAGATTTGCCGCCTTCCCTTGGATTAACCCCCTTTATTGTATCTCGCTGCCTACACTCTAGGGTTACTGTGTGAACTGGCTCCGAGCAGTTTGCTCACATCATGAACCCTGAATGGGATCCTGATCATAACAAGTGGTGATTGATGAAGGGTACCTTTAGTAGAGAGAAGCACCACTGTTAAAGCAATGGGTGTCCTGCTTTCAGAACACAGCCAGTGCCTGAGGATAACAGGGAGATGGCTTGCTTCCTTGTTCGGCTCATTAAACTCAGTATGTGGCCTGAGTAATGCAGTGATCTATACGTGTAACCAAGGTACTGTATTTATAATGGGCCCATCACTGTGCGATCTGAGTGCTAAGAGGTGGTGAATTGACTGGTTTTGCAGTTCCCTTCCACCGCTTGGTTAGCGAAGGGCACAAGTTGTACAGTGTGCAGCTGCTGCCTAAACTACTGACTGCCGGGTGCTTTCAGGGGAAGTACAGGTCCTGCACATTCTCCTGGGAGCAGGTGGAAGGGATTCCGCTAGATTAGGTTGTATCAGAGAGGACCTTACTGGCTCTTTCTCACGTGTACCGTGACTACTTGTACACAGTGAGAGGAGGTAGCTTGACGTGTATCGGAATCTTACTGTTGGTAAGCATACACTTTCTGGCCTACCCATTAAATGAATAGAATGGGGAAGAACTTCCAGTGCATTAGGTTTTAGCTGCTATTGTATCTGATGGGAAAATAACAAAGGTCCCTGTTTGAATTTGCGGTTTACAGTGCTTGTCATCCTGGGATCACAAAGTGTTTCACACACATTAATAGGCCTGTCCCCTTTTGGTAGTGAAATATCCCTAGTTGACAAATGGGTAAGTTGAAGCAGAAGGAGGAGATCATACTCATCCGAGTGCTCTCTGACCCGCAGACAACATTCCCATCCTGTCCGTGAAATGCACCATACCTCGTGAAATGCACCATACCTAGGGAATTGTAACATGGTTGGTGGGAGGCCCCGTCCAGTGTAGGACGAGTGTGTGCCGTCTCTCTTAGGGTTGTAGGTTAGACATAACCTTAGCCTGAGTCAATATACTTGCCGTTCTTAGCAGGGCAATGAGGCCTAAAGGCAAAAGTCAGTGTACTTGCCTCTAATAGCTGGGCAGTGCGGCCCAACGGCCAGTGTCAATAGTCTTGCCTCAGTTGGCAGGTCAGTAAGGCCTAGTGGCTAAAGTCCATAGGTTCGCCCCTCTTAGCAGGGCAGTAAGACCTAATGGCCAAAGTCAGTAAATTCATCTCTGGTAGTGAGGTCCAGTGGTCTCAGTCGGGAAGGGGGCCGCCACGCACAAAAAAGGGTCACTGGACCCCAGCCCAGGCCCCTGGTTGTGCCCGGAGTGCGGGCCACTGCATCAGCGTGGGGTTCAGACTGAAACATGCTGTCTCAAAATTCAGGTTCACTAACCAGGCCACTATTTAGTTGCTCTGGGCTGCTTCCTACTGTAGTTTCCGCTGCTGTGGTCTGGGCATCTCAGCTGTCTCCGGGTTCCCTAGCCTGCACTGTCCCCGACAACTCCGGACTCTGTGGGGCCTCTGAGGGTAGCTTGGCGTTTGCCTGGATTGTGGTGTCTGACTCCCATGGCTTCGGGCTTCAGCTGATCCTTGGCTGGAGCCGGTGGTGTCCTTCCTCCCTGGCAGTCAGAAGTACCTGAGCTGAGCTGCTCCCTTTTATACTAGTGCATTTGGAGCATGCTCAGTAGAGTTGAGAGGGTGTGGTTAACACAATGTAGTGTTAACCCTTCCCTGTCCAGTGTGGGGCGAGTGTGCCCCATCACAGGAATACACTGAACGTTGGTTATTCTAATATTTGTCATTTCCTTTCCTTCGTCTCCTCTCATCTCCCTAGATGGAACGACAGCGGCTGGCTCGAGAGAAGCAGATGAGGGAAGAGGCAGAGCGAACAAGGGATGAGTTGGAGAGGAGGTTGTTGCAGTTAAAGGAGGAGGCGACAATGGCCAATGAGGCTCTGGTATGTCTTTATGGTGGTTGTTCTCCAGTCACTGCAGACGTTTGTGACTCCCTTTGCTGAAGTCAGCAGACATGCAGTGTGCATTCTGGGGCTATTCGTAAGCCCCGGCTGGTGAACAGTGATTAAAAAGACAGATGGGTCAGCTGAATGGTGTGGTGCAAGGGCCCTGCTATGACACCGTCTGAGTGGAGGATTAACTGGAGGCAGAGAGCCTGAGAGTATCAGAGTCTTGGTTGGGAGCTTATTGCACAGTGGCCAGAGCACTGCAAGGATTGTGGAAATGGGGAATTTGCGCACATGTGAGTCATAGTAAAAAGGTGGGGCAGGGGACTTAGGGTCCCTACCACAGGAATCTTGGACATGTCAGGGTGGGGCCTTGTGCATGCTGACACTGCTGTATATGTTGGTTCCCAGATGAGATCTGAAGAGACAGCAGACTTGCTGGCTGAAAAAGCCCAGATCACAGAAGAGGAAGCCAAGCTGCTGGCTCAGAAAGCAGCTGAGGCGGAGCAGGAGATGCAGCGGATCAAAGCCACGGCAATCCGGACAGAGGAAGAGAAACGGTTGATGGAACAGAAGGTCCTGGAGGCAGAGATGTTGGCGTTGAAGATGGCAGAAGAATCGGAGAGAAGGTCAGAGGGAGGAACCCTACACCTGCTTCCATGCTCCACTTTCCAGATCTGCCAGTGAGATTGACCAAGACAGTATCCTGGGGTCACAACTTTATACAGGCCTTCCAAACGGTGTGCAGTGAGCCCTTGGTATCTCAGACACCTGTGAGGGCTAGTTGGCCACAAGACTGAGCTGTTTTCTTTCTTTAGGCAGCTGTGTTTGTCAAAAGTAGGCTTCTGCTGAATGGTAAACGAATGCTAATGTATATATTGGGCCTCCCTGATTTTCTTGTATTTGAGCCTGATGCGGAGAATTCTTATGAGAGAGATGCAATGAGGAGAGAGTGACTAGGAGAGGGACTTTCAGCTACTGGCTTCAGTGAGTGGCTGGAATATAGTCTTCCTTTCGAACTGTCCATAGGACTCTTCTTCCCTGGCTCTTCTTGGAGCACTAACTAGAATGTGCAGACATTGGCTCAGATTATCACGGAGCTGTAGGATCAGCCAGAGAAACACCTGCCGTATTCTCCAAAGTATTTGGCTCCATTAATTAATAACACTGGAGTTTTTTGCTTCTGGATATTAAACACAATTCATCATTCTCGCCCTTGCTCTGGCATTGCACTCCCAGATCTCTCGCCTTCCTGACTAGTCACGAGGCTTCTGTTGCATGTTAGGCCTGGGGACCCTTTGTGCCAGAGTCCCTGTTGTGTGTTATTCAGAGCCTATGGTATGCCAGAGCTCTTGTCACACGTTGCATTTCGTTAGTGGGTGAACTAACTTCCTCCCTGTTATCACTTATGAGTGCATTGGGCTTCAGCCCTCTCGCTTGTTCAATAGCTTTATCCCCAGCCATCCCTTCTCTATCTTGAGCTCCTTGTAAATTCTGATGGAGCAAAGAAGGCTTCCCTCTCTCTCTCTCTCTCTCGTCATCTTTCCTTTTGCTTTCTACCCAGGGAGTGTCCTCAGGAGCTGCCATACATCAAGGATAAATGGTAGTGTTAGAACCCTTTGGCCCTGAGATTGGCATGTTAAAGTCCATATAGGACTTTTTGGGCATTTTCTTCTGTTCCTTTTAGACAAACAACCCTCAGTAGATGATTAATATTCAGAAGACCAAACCTTCTGCTCCCCAAGCCAAAGCTTCCTACTTCTGCTCTGATTTTGATCACTCAGTGTATTCCCAAGTTGTCCTCCCAACTCCAGTAGCTTGACCTTATTGTCCAGGTGTCAGTCTTTTTGCAAATGCTAACACAACATCCAGATTTTATCTCTTGCCCTTTTGTGATGTGGATCTCCTGCCGCTTCTTTGTTTGGGTTCTCCACTGCCCTGTAGGCCTGAGACCTGATTAGCCCCTCTCCCACCCCATATTAAACCAGTCTTGGGTGAAACTCGAAGTTCATCACTAAAATTGGGGGGGAAAAACCCTTAAATTTAGGGTGTCCTAAATTGAGCGGGTAACAGCCCCAACTGCAGTATCAGATCCTAGCTAGAAGGAGAAGACCTGGTAGGTCATCTAGCCGGTCTTCTCCATCCTTGGTAGTCCAGTGCAGATTTGTTTTCTTCAGTATTTGTCCAGTCTAGTTGGAAGGTCTCAAGTGATTGGGTTTCCACCATTTCCCTTTTGGAAATTATTCTTCAGCTTAATAGATCTCATTTCCGGATAAATCCCAATCCCCGCTACACCCACACTTTGGTGTTGCTCCATTTTCCCTTCTCTGACTTTCATCCCACTCCATTCCTTCCCTGTCCATCTCTGATTTAATATTTGTCATTGTTTGTTACTGTGCATAGGGCAAAGGAGGCTGATCAGCTAAAGCAGGATCTTCAGGAGGCTCGAGAGTCTGAGCGGAGAGCAAAGCAGAAGCTCTTGGAGATCACCAGCAAGTCATCCTACATGGTAAGAGTGTTTTGTATTTCAGCTCCATTTTTTTCCCAGGAAGAGGGCAGCATCCACTTGAGGGCTTTGAAAGAAGTTGGGCTGTTTTCCGTAGTGCCACCTCCTCATCAGGGGGGTTATGAGACTACTTTGTTGTGGAACTCAGTAAGTGGAATTGCAAACTATTTCCTGTGCTCCTCAGCCAAGTCCAGATCTGGTGGTCTGCAGTTTAGCAGAGAACAGACTGCTTCACTCTGTCTCCCATCTACCCTTTTTCTTAATACAAGAACAATGTGGTACAAATGAAATTGAAAAGACAACAGATTTAAACTGAATAAAAATTGTGTTTTGTTAACACTGTGGAGACAAATATAAAGTATTGAGGCCAAGGGCTTAGTAGCATTCAAAATAGGATTAAACACTTGTGTGAATAAGGGCATCCTCTGTTTCCTTATATCAGATAAAAATTGATCAGAACCTATAAACATATGCTCCAGGGCATTAACCCAACCTCCCTGTGTTCAGGAAGAAACTTCCCCTGTGAGAGATTACTCTATAACTGCTAGTAAGAGGATTGCACATCTTCCTTTGATGGATCTGGTACTGGTTGCCATTGAAGACCAAATACTGGGTTAAATGACAGTTGTTCTGATCCAGTCTGGCAATTCCTTTCCTCCTGGCTTTGCTTCTTTTGCTGTGAATCTTATTGGGACCTGTGAATGCCATCAAGTGATCTCTACCCTGCAGCATACACCTGGTGGCCTTGCTATCCATCCTGTTGTTTGTTAGTCCCAAGAGGTGGGAGATCGTGGCATGAAGGGATGTGAATAGTTTCCACAGATACATCCCATCTTGAGCAATTACCAAACCTTTCACCATTTCAATTTTTCTTTGAAATGCCATCACCTCAAGTAAGTGTTTAAACAAGCAGCATGAAGGTGGTTAGAAGTAAATGACTTCTCTTCCACATTTTCCAAAGCTATCTGCAAATGATCAGAAACTTTTAAGAGACTGAGGAGGAGTACTAGTGGCACCGTAGAGACTAACCAATTTATTTGAGCATAAACTTGCATCCGATGAAGTGAGCTGTAGCTCACGAAAGCTTATGCTCAAATAAATTGGTTAGTCTCTAAGGTGTCACAAGTACTCCTTTTCTTTTTGCGAATACAGATTAACACAGCTGCTACTCTGAAACCTGTCATTATTTTAAGAGACTGCAATGATTAAATGTCTGATACTTCCAGACTTAGGGCCCCTCCACTGAGTGCTAGTTGCCTCTCTGCTTCATAAACCTACTCTTTGAACACAACTAACTTTACTACACTATGGACCAACAGGCTGCTGGAGTCCAATAACTCTAATAATGACTTTGTCGTACCCAGATGGAGGAGGATTGTGATTTGCAAGCCCAATGGTCATATCAGCCAAGTACCAACAGCTGTGAGGAGATTGCAGCTCCAAGCTCCCTCAAGCTGGTGGGTCTGTCCTTTGTTAAACCCACAAAGCAGAGACTAGTGAGTTCTCTCCTCTTCTGCACACACGCCTCTGTCTCATTCTGTGCTAATTAGCAGCCAGCGTAGATCTATTTTGCCTATAGAATGGAAGTATAATTAAGGGGAAGATTGCTGGACAGAATCAAGCTTCACTCCACCCCTCCAGCTGCATCTGTCCTAGAGGCATTGAATAGAGAATTGTTTTTCCTGCTGTGTTACGTTGCCTTCCTTCCACATCCCCTCCTTTCCTTAGAGGCAGGGGACCTTCTCCCACCAGAGCTCCCAGTATGGAGAAAGAAATGGAATGCCTCACTCTCCTCCTCAGTTACATTGCAGAGGTTCCCTGTGGATTTGCTGGTGCTCCTGCTTCTGCCCTTCGGGTTAACTCTGCAGGTACCAACACGTCACACCAGCTCAAAGACTGCTATTTTCCAAGGTGCCAAATGTCAGTAGTATGCGAGTATGGCCATTGTAATTTCATAAGTACAGCAATACTTTGCTATGTACATATTTTTAAAGCTCTCTCTCCTGTCCTTCCGTTGCTGTGCCTGTCTGTTTTGTTTTTCCCATGCGGTCTCTCTCTTGCTGCGCTGCTCTGCTCTGCTGCATGTGTGTTCCAGGGCAGTCAAGTGATATGTACTGAAATCCTGTTCTTGCACATTGCTTCAGCGAGCTGGCTTCTGGTAAGTCCTCCTTCCCTGCCAGCATGCAGAGGGACCCAGCTGGGCAAGAGCCTTCAAAGAAAGAGAATAAGAACATAGTGGCTTAAGGGGGATCAGGAGATGTGTCCCTCAGGTGAATGGTAGCTCTGTCTAGTACACAGTACAGTACCCAGACTTCCTCTCTCTGTTAATCAGCCTGTCCCACTGAACATATTCATTCTTGTCTCATTCCTGTACTTTGGTTACGCAGTCCCTCAACTCCAGAGCCGGCAGGATCCAATACCTCTGTGCTGCCTAAGGAAGGAGAGGAGGAATCATAGAATATCAGGGTTGGAAAGGGCCTCAGGAGGTCATCTAGTCCCTCCCCCTGCTCAAAGCAGGATCAAACCCCAACTAAATCATTGGAGGAGGAGAGCAGGAGGTGGCTAGGCTACAGAAAGGACAGGAGGAGGCTGATACTATTTTTGTAACTCAGTCTTCCATGAAACAAACTGGTAGCAGATATGCTTTATAAAAGTTGCTAAGTTGTTCTCAGAGCTCTTGAAGCCCATGGCCAGTGTGCTTTTAGGTTTTTTTATGTTACCAAGCAGGGAGAATTAGGCTTATTTAGCGCCAGTATGTGAATTTGAGTCTCAGATCAGCAGGAGTAGGAGGCTTCTTTGCACCACTCTTCAGTGACTCAGTTGGGGCTGATTGGCTCCAAAGGGAGTTATCAGGTTCCCATCAGTGGGAAGGCAAGAGGGTCTCTACATAGCTAAGGGGGGAACCCCCTTGAGGCTCTGAGAAGAGCGTGATGGATCCTTTACAATCAATGATATGCTTTTCAGATGCTACTCTTGATCTCAGCTCTCAGCAGCTGCCTTCACTCCCTCTCCTTGCTTAATGATCTACCCCAGCCCTTTGTTTTTTTCCATTCATGGTACCTCTTGTATCTCATTATTTCAGTGTGCCCTCAGCCTACTTCACTTTCCTTGGATACTGAACACTCCAGGCAGTTCTAAATATTGTCTACCTTTCTTTGATCCTTTTAGCATAACCAGTTCTCCTGTGCTTGCCCCAAGTTTTCCAGCTGGCAAGGACAAAAGATGATGGCAACTTACAGGGCATGACTGTGACATGGCTTTGTCTTCATTCCTTCTGCCAATCAGTGTCTTTCATGCCTTCAGGCACTTAAACCTTACCTCTTGATATATTTATATTAATAAATATAGACTAACATGCAGACTGTTAGTCTATATTTATTAAGTGCAAGAGACTGGTAGTGCAGCATTAAGGTTGTGCAGTTAAAATCACTTCAAGGGAGGAAAAGCAAAAGTTCTTTGAGTGATGTCCCTTTTTGTGCTCCACTTCAGGTGTCAGTGAGGCCCAGCACCGTCAACTGGAGATTTTCGGCAGCAGTGTCTGTCAGGGCCATGTGTGCATAGTAGTGGTTTTGTGCTGCTGTTGGCACCTTGACTAGTGCACGACCTGACCCCCTCAGTTCCTTCTCAACCATCCTCAGCCTGAGACAGAGCTCTGGGGAAGTGTTCCAATGTCATCTTCTACAAGAAATAGTTTAGATAAGTTAGTTGTATACTTAATAAGAGATTAGTTAGTTTAAAAAAAAACTTGTTTTCTTACTTCATCATTGTTCCCCCTGGGAACACTCAACTGCCTGAATGATGCTTGGTTCCCCAGGCTTTAAGAGATGTGGCCCCGGCAAAGCGATGCCGCTGGTCTCCAATGGATACTCCTTGTGTTTCCGATGCCTTGGTGAGTTGCACAACCCTCAAAAGTTTGCTCACTGTAGTAGTCTCAAAGTGAGAACCAGGTGTGACCATGATCTCCACCTCAAACTGATTCTTATGGAGAAATCGCTCCAACCGAACCGGGACAACAGACCTCCCCATCTACTTCGGAATCAACTAAAGACAAGGCTCAGTCCTCGACAGTTTCGAAGAGTATCGACCTCTCCGCAGAGAGAACCACAAAAAAAGAGACTTTCTCCTGACTGGTTACTGTCCTTGGTTCTGACCACCACACAGGTGAGCACCTTTAAGGCACTGGGCACCTCCAGCACAGTATGTACTGGGCCATCTGCTGAGTCCAAAACAAGAGACACGGAGTCAAGGCATAAACATAGACATGCCTCCTCCACGGCACCAACCGCAGTGGTGTGAGAAACTGCACAGAGACCCTCGCTGACAGTCATGCCGCCACTACCCGCGCCATCGACTTTGTCAGCATCGATGGACAGAGTCCAAGATGGTGCCACCCACACAGGCTAAATCGAGCTGCAAGACACTGGCTCACTCTATGGCTCCATCTAAGACTACATTGTCGGTACCACAAGTACTGCAAGCAATGGCATCACAACAATTTCTCAGTCAAACAGACATTTCAGCCTCCTCAGTACCTCAGTCCCCCTTCTTCAGTACTGATGGCTCTCCAGAATGCATCGCCACAGACCAGCCTATTCCGCCTGTTGCACCATCAATGCTGAGTGACGAAGAGAATGACGAAGAGGAGGAGAGTGCCTTTTCTTCGCAGCATTCCTCCCCTACAGAATGCGGAGTAGCAGGGGGACCCTTTACGGTCTAAAACTCAGCATAGGCACGCAGTCCATCCATGGTATAGACAGCCCTGGATGTGTCCCCCTATGCCAATCCCCATGCAATGGCCACCCTAGGCTCCATAGGCGACATACAGGGCTCATGATATCTGACCAGTATCTCCACCTACAGGCGAACTCAGATCACCTCCACCATCCCCCAGTCCACAAACCTCAGTAGCCGAGGAGAACACTGAATAAGAGCCCTCTTCATAAGAGCGCTGACAATTGCTCTTCATCGCCAGATGAAGCCATTATGCCACCACCTCCTACCGTGGCATATGATTTCAAACAGTTTCAAGAACTCTTCAAAAGAAATGCATTGAGCAAGGACAGCCCCCTGGAGGAGGTCCAGGACACACAGTACAAACTATTACAGATTTTACAAACCTCGTCCACCTCTAAGATCTTCTTGGCCATAAATGACACTATCCTGGAAACAGCAGAGAAGGTATGGCAAACACGAGCTACCATCCCATCAATGTGCAAGAGGGCAGACGGGAAATATTATGTGCCAGCCAAAGGAATGGATTTACTCTTCTCCCACCCAACCCTCTAGTAGATGAGGCAGCAAACTAACGTGGCAAGCATCCACATTACAGATCCACTCTGCAGGACAAGGACCGCATGAGGCTCGACCTCTTTGGGAGGAAAGTCTATTCCTCAGCAACTTTGCAGTTCAGAGTAGCCAATTACAGTGCTCTCCTACAAAGTACTACCACAATAATTTTGGCAAATTATATGAATTTATCAACAGTCTGCCGGAAGAGAAGCAGGGCCAATTTAGAGCCATATTGATGGAGGGACAACTGGCAGCCAGAAAGGCCTTGCAAGCATCCCTGAACGTCGCTGACACAGCAGCACAAGCAACAGCTACAGTGGTGGTCATGTGTAGGGTGTTACAGCTACAATCTTCAGGAATTCCAAAAGAGTTGCAAGTGAAAGTAGAAGATCTCCCTTTCGATAGGGAAAAATTATTTTCCACCAAAACCAATGAGGTCTTGAGCGACTCTCTGCACACTGGGTACTTACACACGTCCCACCAAACGGAAGCGCTACCAACCATACCCACAACATAGAGACGCATCATTCCAGAGACCCTATGAGACGCAAAGACAAAGACTGAGACCATCTCTGGCTACCAACAAACAGTTTTGAAAGATTGGTCCAGGGTCTGAACAACCTCCCCCACCAGACAGCACCACTGACAAATACATCTCGCTTATTTGGCCATCGATTGCGACCGTTCATGGGCAACAATCACCATGGACTGTTGGGTCTTAGAGGTCAAGATTGGCTATGCTATCCCCTTTACCTCTTGCCCACCCACCTTACTCCTGTCCCCATCCCTCTTCAGGTACTCTTCTCATGAGCACCTTCTATGACAAGAAGTAAACCATCTTCTTCAACTTGGTGCTGTGGAACTATACCTCTGCAATACAGGGGGAAGGGTTTCTACTCCCATTACTTCTTAACCCAGAAGAAAAACTGGGGATGGAGGCCTATCCTAGATCTCAGGATGCTCAACAAGTTCGTCCAATCCCAGAGATTCAAGATGGTCACACTAGGTATGAGAATACCTGCGCTGGAATGTGGGCACTGGTTTTCAGCCCTCAATCTACAAGATGCATATTTCCACATTACCATACACCCAGCTCATAGACAATTCCTGCAATTCACAGTAGGAAGCAACTACTACCAATACAGGGTTCTACCCTTCGGTCTTTCCACTGCACCAAAGGTCTTCTCCAAAACTCTCAGGGTAGTTGCAGCACACCTTTGCAGACAAGGAACAGTGATTTTCCTGTACCTAGACGATTGCCTCGTGAAAGGCCCTACCCAGATGGCAGCGACAGAGATCACCCAGAGAGCCCTCACACTCTTCCGGAACCTAAAACTATAAATAAACATACAAAAGTCAACCCTTGTGTCCGTGCAGCAGTTGGACTTCATCGGAGTGCACCTTGATTCCATACAGGTCAGAACGGCACTACCAATGAACAGATTCATGACAATGATCAACCTCATCTCAGTATTCAACACTAGTCCACGAATCACTGCATGAACCTGCCTGTAATCATTAGGCCATAAGGCAGTTACAACCTTCATAGTAAGACACACAAGACTGAAAATCTCCAATTGACAGCACTGGGATGCACCGACATCTGAAGTGGAGCACCCACAGGGATACACATCTTGAAGAACCTCAGTCACCACACCAGGTGAGTAACCTTTTCTTAAACCGCCTCAGTTTAGTAATCACCGTTTGCGCTGGGAATTTCTCACCTTCACTCGTTAAAAGTTTCAGAGTAGCAGCCATGTTAGTCTGTATTCGCAAAAAGAAAAGGAGTACTTGTGGCACCTTAGAGACTAACAAATTTATTTGAGCATAAGCTTTCGTGAGCTACAGTTCACTTCATCGGATGAATTTGTTAGTCTCTAAGGTGCCACAAGTACTCCTTTTCTTGTTACAAGTGTAACCTAGGTTTACTGCAAATGAGAGACGTGAGATGGGAAAATATTTCCCCCAGATTTGAAGCTGTTGTACCTGATAGCACTTTGTGTATAATTGGTTTCACTGTTCTTTGCTCCCTATCCATTCTCCAGTGCATATGATCAGTTAGCCTGTTCTTCACCTGCTTAGGTGGCTCTTCCATACAGCAACAGTGAAGAGAGGGAGGATTGTAGTTGTATAACCACAGAAAGTTGGCATGGGAGCTCAGCAGATGTAATATCTGAAACTACTGTTCAAATTTGTAAAACTTGAAATCTAGTAACTTTTTGACAAAGTATTTAAGGGCAAAAAAGGAACCATTATCATCATCTAGTCTGACTTCCTGCATAGGCCAGAAAACTTCATACAGGTAAAGCTGTCCAAAGTGCCTAAGTCCCACTGAAAGTCCATGAGATTCAGGGTCTGTCTACACTGCAGTCAGGAGGTGTGACTGCAGCAAGTGTAGACTTACACAAGCTAGCTTTCAGAGTAGCAGCCGTGTTAGTCTGTATGTGATCTAGCTAGCTTGAATAACAATAGCATTGAAGCCACGGCAGCATGGGCTGAACAACGCTTCCCAGGACACTGGGTATATACCCAAGCAGCTAGCCCACGCTGCCATGGCTTCATTGCTATTGTTGTTCAAGCTAGCTCGATCACGTCTATGCATGCCGCAGTCACACCTTTGATTGCAGTGTAGACATACCCTTAGGCTCTTCAGTCACTTAGGTACTTTTGTCTATTTTGTCTCTCTCTCCGAGATTCTGGAATTTAGAGTCACAGGTGTCCCTTTGAAGAGTCTCACAGCAATATTAACTTGACTGCACTGCACACAAAAGCAGCAGGATAAGCTGTGTGTTGGAAAAGAAACAGGAGTAGGAAATGGTATTTACATTGGATGCACAAAGTGGGTAAATTAACGTAACCCTTGTGCCAGGCCAAGCATCTAGCTTCAGCTGCCTTGTTCTCACTGCTTTTGCTTGTACAATATGTTCCCATTTCAGCTCCAGTTCTTCAGGACAAATGAAATGATGTCTCACTGGATTTGCTCATTGCAAGTGAGGGACAAGCTCCTATTGACTGTGAAGTTTATGCCTATGGCAAGGGAGGGAGGGTTATTGTGCAGAGTAAATCCATTGCTATCCCATCAGACCTACTGCTGCCAGCCTTGGACTAGCTATAACAGTCCTTGGATTATCTTAATCTAGGGAGCAAGGGAGGGAGACCAAGCACAGCATTCTAGTCTGTGAAATTCGCAGACAGTTCCTGCCCTCGGTTTCTGATTTGGGTAATTCCATTCTGCCACCCTTTTCTCTGCACTTCCAATTGATTCTTCTGTCATAGAGGGTTTTGTACTAGCACCCTTTGCTTCCTGTCCTTAACTGGTATGCAGTTTTACTGTTAAATAGCTGCCGAGTTTCACCCCAGAGGCAGCTGCCTTCCAGCAGTCTTTAGTGATCCTTGTATATATATTAAATAAAAATAATACCTAGCTTTTATATAGTGCTCTTCTTCAATAGATCTCAAAGGTCAGTAGTATTTTCCCCATCTGTAAAATGGGGATACGGAGGCATGGATAGGCAAAGTGACTTGCCCAGGGTCACTCAGCAGGCCAATGGTAGAGCTGGGAATAGAACCCAGGTCCGTTGAGTCACAGTTCAATTCTCTATGCACTGGGCATTGCTGGCTCTCCTAAAGCGCTTAAAGTGTTAGAAATCCTTCAGCATGAAAGGCACTATGTTTAATGTAAGTAGTTATCTTTTATTTCCACTGTGGCATATGCTAGGTTCTTCCGATGGTTTTGATAATGAAGGTATGAGTCACATTGTCCCAGCAATACTCTCAGACCCCTGTACACAGTAAATGAGATACTTTCTTGATCAATGTCGTTGGAGGCAGCATAACGTCCTTCAAAAGGGATGCAGTGAATTAGCACATCGCCAGCATTGTCTATGCAGTCAGTGAGCCAGCTCTTCACTAAAGCACAATTACGTAGCTTCTTGTATTACAGGATCAGCCATTGTCTTATCTTTTTAGCTTTCTGCTACAGAATGCTTCCAGATAGCAGTGGCTGTGTGTCCAAAGATGATTAATCTGTGCTTTCTCTTTAGCAGCCCATGAACTCAGGTATGACAGCGCTGCCTGCTGACCTGCCAAGTTTCAACCTCATCAGTGAGAGCCTCTCCTTTGACTTCAAGGATACAGACATGAAGAGACTTTCCATGGAAATAGAGAAAGAGAAGTATGTAGCTTACTTCAACAGTCTGTGTGCACAAGTCAGAATAGTTCCTTGTCTAGCACAACTGAAAATGAATGTTGTTACGCCTGATGAATTTGGCCTATTGTTCTGAAATGGTAGATCTCTGATTGGTGGCAATGTGAGGCAAAATGGGAAGGCCTCAACATTTCAATCTGCTGGAGCAGACCAACATTTCAATCTGCTGGAGCAGGCCAGGCATGTGGTGTAGTTGTTAAGAAACTTAGTCTCCTGTCCTCCAGGATGGGTTCTCTATGTTGCCCTGGTGGAATCCTGATTCATTGAGACCAAGAGCTTAGCAGGATTCAAAACAGGTTTGAACAATGAAACCTGTTCAGTTACCATGTTAAAAAACAGATGGGATATACACTCATCTGCTGTGGACATGAGCTAGCTACTAACTTCTTGGGATTTGAATGAAATTTCCCCTATAGTCTGGTTAGTCCGTAACTATCCATTCTGGGATTTCTTGAACCTCTCAATTATCTGGTGCTGACCACTGTTGGGGTGAGAGATTCAACTAAATGGACCACACTCTGATACGGTATGGCAGTTCCTATGTTTTTACCGTATATGGGAAACTTGAGATACAGAGAGATTAAATGACTTGCCCAAGGCCACAAAGGAGAGGATTAGAGCTGGGATAAGATCTCAGGAGTTTCTAATTTCCAGTCCAGTGCTTAAATCACTAGATCACATCATCCCTCTCTAACCACACAGCTCAAATGATAAGGACAAAAATATTCTGTCTGTGTTGATCCACTGCAGGAATGTCTGCACTCTTCAGGTGCTTGGGTGCAGTTCGTAACAGGGCCTCACGCTTAGAAAGGTAACCGGGGATGTGCTGGTATTTTGCAATCTCTGCATGCTTGGCCATGTGTTTATTGCTTGGGTCTCGGTACTGAGTCACAGTCTTGGTTGCCTAGAGTGTGCTAGGCAATGCATTATGGGAGACAATTAAGGTCAAGAGTGACTAACCATTTTAGGGTTCAGAGTAGCAGCCGTGTTAGTCTGTATTCGCAAAAAGAAAAGGAATACTTGTGGCACCTTAGAGACTAACAAATTTATTTGAGCATAAGCTTTCGTGAGCTACAGCATCCGACGAAGTGAGCTGTAGCTCACAAAAGCTTATGCTCAAATAAATTTTAGTCTCTAAGGTGCCACAAGTACTCCTTTTCTTTTAACCATTTTAGATGCATCAGTTTTTGGGGTCCTTGACACCTTAAGGAGACCTATATTTGAGACAGTGCTGAGCCCCCACCATCTAAAAATCAGGACTCTTTAAGACATTTTAAGGCACGCAAAATCACTAGTCACTCTTGGTAAATCTGGCCTAGATGAATTGAGAACTTCATACATTTTGGTAGACTGGGTTTATAAATACACTGTAGCGTAGAACAGCATTGTTCAAACCGGTAGCTCTCATTGGAATTGCAGAGGACTAACCAGCATCATGCTGCAGCTACTAGCAGAGATGCGGAGGTGTATAAACATCATCTGGCCATGCTAAACTGGCTATTTTTTCATACCTACATGACATAGTTTTGCTCTTGAATTGGCTATCTGGCATCTATTTTTAATAATGAACAAACTGCTCAGTGTAGTTCATTGAACAGCATAAACTAGTGTAATCAATTTCATGCTCTGGGCATGATGAAATTAAAAGCCCCTATCAGTTGTCATGGAACCACGTAACCACAAGGCTGTGTATTATGGGTGCCAGAGTGGAGTACATGGAGAAGAGCAAGCACCTGCAGGAGCAACTGAACGAATTGAAGACCGAGATTGAGGCGCTGAAACTGAAGGAGAGGGAGACAGCGCTGGATATACTGCACAACGAGAATGCTGACCGAGGCAACAGCAAGCACAACACTATTAAAAAGGTACCCAGGTTCCTACCTTGCTCCTGATGAAATCTTCCTATTTTTTTAAACAGGGCTTAGACTTTGCTCAAGGAGTCAATAATAATATTTTGATTTAGGTGTTTGTCCATGAATGCTTAATCCAGACCACGATTTAGGGAGACTCTGTACAAGAACTCTAGGTAGCTCAGACTGGTGTGTGTGTGTTAGTTACAGCTTGTCTTCACTATGGGGGTAAGTGAACCTAAGTTATGCTACTCCAGTTACGTGAATAACCGTAGCTGGAGTCGACATAGCTTAGGTCGACTTACCCCAGTGTCGTCACTGCGCTGTATTGATGGGAGATGCTCTCTGGTCAACATACCTTACTCTTCACAGAGAGCTGTACCGGAGAGTGCTCTGCCGTTGATTTAGTGGGACTTCACTAGATCCGCTAAATCTATCCTTGCTACATCGATTGCAGCAGCATGGATCTTCCCTTAGTGAAGACCAGCCCTTAGTCTGGGAACTGGAGAGCCAGGAAAAAACACAAGGGTCTCTTTTTGTCCAGCAGCTTCAATAAAGCATTTTGTTTATATTCATCACAGCTGACTCCTGTCTATTTCCATGCTGTGAGAGATACTACACTATACATTCCTGAATTATGGATCCTAGGTGGAGAAGCCTAGCCTGGATCTAGGCAGCCAGTAGTCTCAACCCTTCCCATCTCATGGGAAGACAAAAGGGGGCAGGTGGGTGTGTCAGGTTGACTGGTCCTAAATCTTGTAAAGCTTTAAAAACTCATAGTAAGATTCTTGAATTGCACCTATTCCATGAGGTAATTGTTCATTACCCCTTGTTTCAAGTCACTATCTGGATCCAGGAGCTACCTGTACTTGGCCAAAGGATTTAAAATGACTCTGCCTTACTGGCATCAGCATTAAGCAAATGAAAAGATCCCAGCAAAACTTATCCCTTTTTAAAAACTGATCCAATTTCTTCTGTTGCTGAGAAACTCTGCTACTCAGTCCCCCCAACAGGGGAAATTTTAACAAGGGGCTGATTTTATTATTATTTTTATTATAATGGGAAATCCAAGCATAAGGAGTGGCTTCCACCCAGGCTTTCTTACAGTCTGCTTTCTTTTGAAGGGTTTAGAACTCCTAAGATATATGCCAGAGGCTACAATTTAAAGGGGACAATGCCAGTGTTAAAAGTCACACTTTAAAAATTAGATCTTCCCTGTGTTACTAATCCCACCTGAAAGTATTAAAACAAAGCATTTCAAAGTTCTGATTTGCTCTGCCTTTCACCATGGAGTGTTTAATTTTACTGTCCCAACTGAATGAGGAACAAAGAGTAAAATAATCTAGCAGTTTCACTTCCTAGTTCTCCAGTTCTAGCCCTATGCTGCCTGGGTCTCCAGTTGAGAGAGAGATACTGATACTTAAATGCTCACAGACCTTGTGTTTTTAGAGTCTGGAAGCCTTTTTGTTCATATTAGACTTTGATAAAGCTCTCAGTTTACACTGCTGGAGAGTCCCCTTTTAAGCTGAAAATGCTAAAATTTGACCTCTGTACACAAATCTCAAAAGCTGTTGGCAGAGAGGAGAGAGAGTCCCATTTGTCTCATTCAGGAAGGTGGCTAGGCATTCATAAATCGTGGGTGAATCGTCATTGCAATCAGGACGGTCTACTCAGTCTTTGTTCACTAGCTGAAGCTTGAGTCTTGTCCTCTCCGCTTGTCTTCTTAAGTATTTTCTAAGGGGGCAGCAACAGAGAAGCTCTGGCACCACTAGGTCATGTTGCCTAGTGGATAAAACACTGGACAAGGCCTCAGAAAATTGGGGTTCTGTTCCCAGGGCAGCCACTGCCTGCTGCCCTTGGGCAAGTCACTTCACCTGTGCCTCAGTTTCCCCATCTGTAAAATGGGGTTAATGCTACTGACCCGCTTTATAAAGCGCTTTTGAGATCTGCCAACGAACAGCACTACCTAAGAGCTAGGGATTATTGTTATTTATTATCTCAGTCAGTGGAGCAAAGATTTTTAAAAATTGAGTCTGTTAGCAAGAGGAGTTAAAGTAAATACTCAGACAACTTGTTTCATGCCATCTGGGTATGAGGAGGGTTTTAATCTTTACCACTATGACGGAAGTGGAGATTTGAGACACCTGACATAGAAAATTATATCAATAGTTTTTCCCTACTTAACTAATAACCCTCTCACCTCTCCTGGACACTGCTAAACACTCCAGCCCGACGGGCAAACTATACAGATTGCACAAATGACTTGGTGCTGCTCAAATCACAGAGGAATTTGTTTTTTTTTGTTTGTTTGTTTTGTTTTTGTTCATTTTACTTTGCTGGTTTAGCCTCAAGCCCAAGGCAGAAGACCTATCTGCATTTGAGACTTCAAAGTAGGTTATTCCAAGGTACTCTGTGTGTGGTGATGGGATCGCCGTCTGTAATACTAACCTGCGCATGAGCTTGCCTGTGAAACATGCTGCTATAGCCAACTGTCAGTGCTGCAGCCCCCAAAGTGCACCATGAGCCTGAGCCACCTCAGCAGTGTGCTTTGCAAGCACGAGAGCCAGTGCTATGTCCCGTCCCACCCTTATGTGGATCAGAAGAGCATGTAATAGACAGCAGGATTGTCATGTCTCATCTTGTTTGTGGGGTTCACAGCTTTTGTCTATTCACTTCTGTCCAAAGTCCTTGGTGGTGTCCTCCTTGATGAAAGCTGAACTGGGACAGTAAGTGGGGAGTGGAATAAATGCGGAATGCCTCACATGCCTGATCCCACTTCACTGCATGTGGGTGGAAATCTCCCAGAGAAATGGATGACCTTTGCAGACTCTGCAGGGTGTTGCAAAGTAAAGTGGAAGTTGCTTCCTCCTCCATTTGCTGCAGATGAAAATTCATGAGTTTAAAAAAAAACAAAAAAAACCAACCTCAACTTAAATTCACTCTTGATGCTGCCACTTGTGCTTCAAAACTGCCCTGTGGAAGCCATGCCTCTGTCTCGGAGCAGAGCAGCCGGTGAACATAGAGTCAGCATCTCTCGGCTGAGAGCTGCTTATTCAAGAGTGGTGTCAAGGGAAACAACTGAAGCCAGCCGGTATCTGGAAGCATCAGCCAGGCAGGCGTGCAGCTAAAGCTAGTCCTGTGAGACTAACACAGTTAGAATTGTTTGCCACAATTGGTACCCAGAGACTGGTATTCTCAGTTTTAAGGGCCGCATTCTCGTTCCTTGTCTGCAGTCCTGTAGAATCCTGGAAATGGAAAAGACCTTTAAGTCCCGTCTTGCCCATCCCATTGGGAGCACAGTTGTTCTCTATAATCTGTTCTCCAGGGCATTATCCAATCCATTTTTAAATGATTCTGGTAACGGTGCTTCCTCTGGGAACCTGTTTTATTGATGGAATGTTAGCTGAGCAGCAATGTTGCCTTTGTCTCTTTCATAGCGATGCCTACATTTCACAGTGCTAGTACCATGGGGGGTAGCGTGGTCAGACTAGGAGTCTGGACAGGGAACCAATGAATCTTTCTTTATTGCCCTAATCTCTAGGGGCCAAATTCTGCTCCGTAACAGGCACACCACTCCGTTGCAGTCAGTGGGATCAGAATCTGACCATTGCAGCCTAAACTAACGCTACCATCTCTCAAATTTTGTCTCTTTCTCATCTTTCATCCCTCTGCTGCAACGCTTTTGCCCTACTTCCTCTCCCCGAGTGTACTAATGCCTCCTGCTCAGTTATCACCATGTCTGTTGCCTACAATATGTGCTTTTTTCTAAAGACTTAGCTTCATGGATTAGCCTCGGTCTGTGACGGCATGTATGCAGTTTACTGACTTGTGTGCCTTTGTCAAGATCCTTTTGATACCTCAAACAGCTTCAAAGGTGGTATCTCTCTTTACCATAGCCAAAGAGAAGCAGTTGTGTCCTGATCTTCAGACACCAGAGGGCTGCAGTAGGTCCTGTCGTAGCATTGAAAGAAGAAACTCTGTGACTGCGTGCCACATTAGTAGCCTCTCTCAAATGCAAGCAGAAAGCCTCTTGGCAAACTTATTTTGAAATGCAGTGTTCTGTAGTGTTGTGGGGATCAGGTTGGCCTAATACATGAAAGGCCCCTGGTTCAAAACCAGGAAGAGATGCTTCAGTCTTGGGAGGCAGTGCAGCCTGTGGATAGAGCACTGGGTTTGGAATCAGGAGACCTGACTTTTTCTGGCTCTGCTGCTCTGTGCCTCAGTTTCCCCATCTGTAAAGTGGGGATAATGGTTCTTTTCAGAGTGCTTAGAGTTGTGTGGATGTGTAAGAGCTAAGTATTATTTGGAATTTGATTTTATCATTGTATTTTAGTTTGTTTCCTATTTAATGATACACTATTACTAAAACTGGGGGAAAAGAAAGATGCCCAGAATTTCACCTTTCTGGATGTTCAGTTTTGAGTCATTTTTCCTTCCCTGCCATATTTTATTTTTCAGATTGATCAGTGTTGTTGCAGGATCTATTTCTGAATCAAAGATGTTTGCTCCGTGCAAAAAGTAGCAGCAGTCAGTGTAGGCAAAAATATTAGTGCTTCTTTTATAAAACAAATAATCTGCAACTCCAGTTTTACATGTGTGAGTGGCATCTATAGGCTGAGTGTGTGGAGAGCATTCTGTTCAGTTAGAGCTCACCCAGAGGGATGATGTGATACAGGTTAAAGTGTTAGCCATAGACCATTCAGTACTGGATCTTGAATCTGCATTGTTAATAGAGTGGTTTGGATGCTTATTTGAGCTGTCCAGACCTCTTGCATCTACACGGCTGGACTGTGAATCATTCAGTCAAGATTTTGTATAAGCAATCTGCTCCTTGCTGCTCCTGGCTGAACTGCAGATGCCCTAAAAAAAGCCATTCTCATTGTATTTTGGCATTTCCTGCCCTCAGGATCAAAGAGGCCAAAAAAAGAAATGAAAGTGTGTAAAGTGGCATTGAATGACTTCATTCAGATTTTGTCACCCCTCTGAAAGGTTTGGGTCAAGTGTTCAGATGGGGCGGGATGAACATTTGTGTTGGAGCCTGCTGTCCCATCTCTTAATCTGCAGTTATTTTTAAGAAATTCAGTGTCATCTTTTAATTTGAGCAATATCCAGTTGTGGGCACAACACGGGGTAAAATGAAGCACTGACATCTCTTGAAAGAAATAATCCATTAACTGTAAGAAATTCTGGTTCTGGAAGGAGCCCCTTCTGTAATTAAACCTGATTCACAGCAAATTTTGTTTTTGTGACCTCTGGGTTTTTGTTGCCTGCCTTTGAAGATGCCTGCTAAATTTTTCATGTTTAATTATGTGGTTAACATGCTAATCCCTTTTTATGAGCTCTGTGGGCACAGCACAGGCATCTCATCTGGAAACTGATTTCCTTCCCATGTAGCTTGTTCTCTCTGATGCCGATTGGCTCTACTAACTCCAGCTGGCTCAGCTTCAGGAGGGTTTGCTTCTTAGACTGCTGTAGAATATAAAACTCAAGGCATTTTCTCTTCTCCACACTCTTTGACTTAAGGGGCCCCCTCTCAGGACAGATAACAAAGCTCTGCTTAATGTCAACAGGATTGAACAGAATTTGTTGAGGTGTTGATTTTTTCCCCACTTCCTTTTCTCTTGCCTGGATTTCTCCACAGGGGGTCAGTGTGATAGGTGAAGTAGCCAGTCTGGGAGCAAGGCACTGTATGTTCCTAGGGCAGTTGTCTTGTTGTTAGTCCATGATCTGGTAGTTCTGCAAATGGGAATCTTTTTTTCATGCAGTTGCCATGTCTTCCAGTGCCCAGGGTTTCCATTCAATGATTGAAGCAAGGTGTAAGTCAAGGTGCATTCTCCGATGGGATCCTCAGGTGAAGCTTGGAGATCCCTTGGTACTCTGAGAAGAGGGGAAGGGATGTAATTCCTTTTGGCCAGGTTGACATTTCTTTGCACGGTAAAAGCCGAGCCTGATGTTCGTGGCGCTGTGTAAGCTCTTGCTCACTGTGTAATGGCTGTTTTGTACTAGCCCAGTCAACAGTTGATTCATTCCTTTTTAGAGAAGCTCTGAAAGTGGAAGTAAATATATAAAATTTGTCTTCTATTTGTGAAGAGCCCTCTCTTGTCAGCTGGAGTTTTGGTAGCCCACTTCAATCGTCAATTATTTACCATCAATAGGCTGGCCTTGCTTACTTTGCGTCTTTGGGCTGGGGATGGTAGCCCTGCTGCATAGCTCTAAGTATAACATGTTCAGCTAGTTTGGATATCTGGAAGCTGACTGGATATCAAGCAATGGAAGGGGTAAGTCAGGTTCAGAATCAGGAGTCAAACTTATAGACTCAACCTACTTTTGTGTAATCCTCTTGACAATCCCCTGCCAGAGCCCTCACGTTGACACTGGTAATGTGCATGTTCAGAATGCAGTCTCATGGGGCAGTGCACCCTGGCACCTACAAACACACATTCTGGCAGCAAAAAGAGGAGTGTGTGACTGCAGGGTAACATCCCTGTAAGAGCAATCCCGACTTCACACTACCATCTCCCTGAGAACTAAAACGGCAGGTAAGGTGCAAGCCCAGCAAGTCAAAGGAGTACAGCTCTGAGTGCTCAGTGGCTCTGAAAATCGGACCTGTAGAGCATATCTAGGGTTCCCATAAGGCCATATCCTCACTAACCTTTTCTTTCCCATCACAGCTACCTGATGCAGCTTCATTGGTATGAGTGTTTGTGTAGACAAGGCACTAGCTTTAACAGCCATGTGCTCTAGACCTCCTCTGAGCCAGAGAGTGAAACTGACTAGAAACATAAAGGAAACTGACTAGCTTTTTTTTTCCTGTTCACACTGAATGAAATGCAACAAGTGAAAATCAGGGCTGTCATCTTGCCAGCATTTGGAAGGTATCACCTGCAAATTGACTTTCATCTGCTCCCATTCAACACATTCCTCACCCAAGTTGGGAGGACAAGGAAGACCTGTGCTCTGGCCCCCATCCTGAGAGGAGTAAAGGTGGTGTGGGAACAATAGAAATAGAGAGATCACCAAGGGGAGTAGAAAATGGGGGTGGGGGAGAGGAAAAACAATGGGAGTCTTTAAAATAGAGAGGGACAATTTAAAGCATTCAGCTAGAAGTGGAGACTAGGAAGGGCAGATGTGGGAATGGGATGGGAAGCAAGAGGGAGCGAGAGAGTGTTTGCTGTATACAGTGTTTTGAATTTATGATTTAATAGAGACCGTAGCTCTACCAACAATCTGAAGATGTGCCGTGCCGTGCCATGCCATGCTTGGACTGGGGTGCTGGGGGTAAGACCTGCCTCTCTTGGGGGGTATAGGTCACTCACCCCTTGAGGCTGGCAGGGATGCAGCATAAACAATTAAATCATAGAATCATAGAAGATTAGGATTGGAAGAGGCC